TGGGAGCTCTTTAAAAAGTTATGGCCGCCTTCTCTGTTCTCGGCGGCAGCTGCGACGCCCGCATGTGAGGCTAAACGTTCCCTTGCCTCCCTGAGCCCCGGGGTGGTGGCCTTGGACTTGTAGGGGCAAATTCTACCTCTCGCGTATGATGTCCCAGCGGTGTTGCCACTGCGACATCACACGTGAGAGGTCATTCTGGCTCCCCCAGCTCTCGGGAGGGGCTCTTTAATAAGTTATGGCCACCATCACTGTTCTCGGCGGCAGCTGCAACCAGGGCCGGCCCGAGGTTGTCCTGCGCTCTAGGCGAGACGGGAGGAAGGGAGAGCCAGCCGGAGGAGAGGTGGTGCCGAGGGAAGCCCCTCCCCTGGACCGCCGGGGACCATGCGCGGGGTGTGGGGGTGCGGCACAGGCGGCGCTGGAACAAGGCAAGGGGGGGCGTTAACTAATGTTGTTGTACTAACTTTACCAGTTCAGTTTACCAGCCCAAGCCGTTATCTTTAAGGGCAGAGAGAAATTCTGCCCACCCCCTTAAAAGTGCAGCTTGCATTGTATTACAACAACCTAACAAGGCTAATATACTTTCACATAAAAGGGCCTCTTCTGTATTGCAAAATAAGCCACAAGAAAGTTTTGCCATGCAGAAATTAAGCACACTGAGGCTAAGTTAGGGTGGAGGAGAGAGAAAAGGCGCTATTTACACCCAAGTTTGATCACCGACATCGCAACGCGCCGCTGACAAGGAGAGGAAGTTGCGGGGGAGGAAGTGTCCAAGGAGGGCACCGGGAATGGGAGCCGCACTCCAATTCACCCTTTACAGGTCCTCCTTTCCCAGAGGGACGACGACACCCCCCCCCCCCATCATCCCCCCAAAAAGGAAAGCGGGAGGGGGGGGAGGAAAGGAAAAAGGAGGACATCGCAGCCCGCCGCTGACAAGGAGAGGAAGTGGCCGGGGAGGAAGTGTCCAAGGAGGGCGCCGGGAATGGGAGCCGCGCTCCAATTCACCCTTTACAGGTCCTCCTTTCCCAGAGGGACGACGACCCCCCCC